TGTATCAGTGCAAACTGATATGAGATAAAGGGGAAAATCATCTCACAGCTGAAGGATCCCCAAAGAAAAATCTCTTGATGTTTTATGGATTCTATGTTCTTGGGAGATAGAGGTGGCAGGACTAGAAATAGAAAAGCCCTACTACTGAAGTGAAACTGAGAAAAATTTCTTCAAGTGCCACCCAGTGAGGTGGTCTAGGCAGAGGCAGTGCCTAAACAATACAACACTTAAGGCAAGCCCCTCCTCCCTGCCACCATAAAGAAGCCTCCAACTGAAAGCAACTGGGGTAACAATGCACTATGGGCAAGAGTTTGAGGGATGAGGGAGTTGGGACCATGACTGGTTGTGTATCAAGTCATTTGTGGGTTGAGAAGGTTCATTCCCTCATGCTAACTGCCAGGTAATGCCTTTATAATCATTTATGTTTGTGTCTGATACATCACACATAAGGTTTGGCCTAGAGTCAGATTCCTTAGGTGTATTTACATATACTTATATGTAAACATATATATTTGTACACTTATGCCTGCATATGTATACCTGTGCATGTAAATAAGCATAGACATATTTAGAATTTATGATAAATCTTGGAAACCTTCAATTCTAGTCTATCCCCTCAGAGTCTTGTCTTGTCTTGCCTTCCTCCCTTTCATGTGTATCTCTTCTTTCACTGTGTAAATCTTGACTCTGAATAACATAACATATTTACTCATTTGCTCATCTTGTTATGTTTATGAAATTGTTTTGGAATTGCTTGGCACATAGAAAATTAAGCATATTGAACAATGGGGTGCTTAGGTGGCTCAGTTGATTAAGCATCTGACTTTGGGATTGAGCCCCCTGTGGAGCCCCCTGCTCAGTGGGGAGCCTGCTTATTGTTCTCCCTCTGCCCTTTCCCCTACTCAGGCTCTCTCTTTCTCAAATAAATAAATAAATAAATAAATAAAGCCTTTTTTAAAAAAAGAAAACAGAAAGAAAAATAAGCCTACTAAAAATATTTTGTCATGTGTTTATAGTCTCTCCTTCACACTCTTGTTTATGAATGAGGATCCATGTCGAATATTACATCAATGATTTATTTACATCAGTGCTTCTTTCTTTGTTATTTAATAAGTTCATTTCTTTAAATTTACTTTTAATTGTAGTTCCTCTTTTGTGATTTAATTTTATTTTTTAAGTATGTGGAACTGGAACCTGCTTCCAAAAGTAAAAAGTATGTGAAGAGATATACTTGGAAGAGAATCATTTTGTCCCCAGTTTTCTCCCTTTCATCTTGTAGATAACCAACTACATTGTTTTCTAATACCTCACTTGTGTTTCATTTTGTAAAGGTAAGTATCTAATTCATTTTCTCTATCTCTCTTTCTTATTTCTTATTTCCCCTTCTTCCTTACCTAAAAGGTACCATACAAGCCCCGCTCTTTTTTTCACTTAATATTGTCTTCTGGAGATCCCTCCAAGTCAGCTTATAGAGATCTTTTTCATTTCTTTTACATTTCTATACAGCTGTTTGTACCACATGATTTACCATAATTTATGTGGTTTATAGGTTTGTATTAGCTTATTCTTCCAATCTCCAATGTTTCAACATTAATGTACAATTATAAATAATGCTGTAATTAATAAATTATACATATGCATTTTCATTGGTTGATCATATAAATCGGTATGATCTATAAAGTATAAATAGCCCAAGAGAAATAGACCAATATAAATGATCTATAATTTCTATTATCTAGAAATGTCAGTGAAGTAAAGAGAAAGATTCAACACACACCTGTTAAAACTCTTCTCACAAAAATCTTTTCAGATCTGGAATTATGGTAGTTAGTTATAACTTCATAAAAATGAGAATGTTGCTGTATAGTTGTTATAAATTGGAATTATAGAGATTTCATAATAAAACCACTTTTTTCATTTAGTGACCTCAATATATCTTTTATGTAGCTCATGATAAAATACCAGATGAAAATCTTGTGTTTAAGAATCTTGAATCAATGTCAGAAACCCAAATACAAGTAAAGAAACAAATAAGTTCTAGAGAGAAAAGATATACTAGTGAGGATAATAATTATAATTTAAATTATTTTTAATTAATTGCATCTAAAGATTTTTTCTTTGAATCATAAATCTGTATTTTATAGAAACTTAAACTTTGACCTGAAGTATAAATGCCTTAAAATAACTGGAGAGCAAAATCTAAAGTAGTCATAATTTTTGGTTAGTATTGCTGGCTGTAATACTATTCCACAGACATGGGTCATGCACTAAGTATCCACCAAAGTTAATAACAGGCCAATAATTCTTTCAAAGGGTTTGTAACTTTCAGTCAGCTCTAGGAAATTAGGAGTCCAGAAGCCTAATTAGTCCATTTTCCTGTGCAGTTGCCCTCTTCCAAAGATTCCAACTGGTAAAAAGAAGTTGCTGAAACCTGTAGTTCAAATGCAGTCAGAGAGGCCTAGGAGATCTGTTATGACTTCCAGAACATTTTGTTGGTTTGAAATCCACTCAAATGTACAGGCCTTTTTGGTAATTCAATAGATGGTTGCAGTCAGGATCCCATGGAGGGGAATATGAGACTGCCAGTCCTTACAAATTTTCAGTCCTTTTTTGTATTTGTTGGGACTAAGAGGGATAAGCATTTGTCAGTTGTCTCCTAAAATGAGATATATTGCTCCTGTCCAGGGATTTTACTTGGGTACAGGTCCTTGTACTATGTCCATATTAATGACCCAGTTGTATTGCTGAAAGACGGTCCACACAGAATCTAGTAATTTTTGTGTGGTGCCTTTGACTAGTCCAACCAGAAGGATGTCATCAATATAGTGGAATGATAATTCTCCATCTAGGAGTGGGACTTTTTCCAGGTCATAACCTTGTGGAATGACATTAAAGTTGTATTGCAACCCATCACATATATAGCAAACTGATTCTGATCATCTGTATGGATGTGAATGTTAAAAATGGCATTTGGAATATGAATTACTTCATGCCTATTTCCCTTAGCTTGGATAATAACTTCTATGGCAGTCACAATGTCAGGTAACACCAGTGTCCTAAGCTGTTCCATAGTTAAGCTGCCTATAATTAATTGAGTCTATAGGCACCCAAAGCTATATGCACAGGTTGACTTAGTTATTGAACGATGAAATAGATTCATGGAGATCTTTGACTTAGTTAAACTCAGCAGTGAGGATAATTTTTCTTCCCCTCCCCTACATAATTGGTTTGGGAGGCGATCTCTAGATATTGGTAGTCTAGCAGGCTTATAGTCTTCCACATGCCTCACTAAAATGGCCTTATATGCAGCAATGTTCATTAAGGCTTGGGGCTTATCCAAGTTGGAGTTCACATAGAAAATATATCTGTGTTAGTAATATATTTAGTAGTGGGGGTTATAAAAATGGAGGCTTATGGTGCCCCAAAGAGACATCCATAGTCAGGTCTCAGACAGGGTCAGATAGCATTAACTGCTTCCCTATTATCCTGGGTCATAATTGTGGCAATCGCAGTTATTCACAAACTAGAATCCAAATGGCCCAAGTTATGGAATTTCTTCTTGCCACCTCTTTGAATTCAAAGGCATGCATCCTCACATGCCAATAGAGATAGAAAAATCTTTGTCTGCCCCCAGCCTTACTTATATGGGTAAATGTAGGCAGAGTTCTCTGATTCATATTAAGATTACTGGATGGGGGCAGAGAGAATAACCCTCATATTAGTAATAAATGTCATCATCATTTTGATTCTTTTTTTTTTTTAAGTGGGCTTCATGCCCAGCGTGAACTCATGACCTTGAGTTCAAGACCTGAGCTGAGACCAAGAGTTGGACGTTTAACTGACTGAGCCACATAGGCGTCCCCATCATTTTGATTCTTATGGGGCTGTGTATTGGCCCCCCATGGCACACTTCCCCCCAAACAGTAGAGTTTTAGTGGAAAGTCTATCCATTTCCTCCTTGAGACTCTGGTTTTGAGTAACTAGACAATATTTTCAGTGGCAGGGAACATATCTTGGGTGAGCCAAACTTTTCAGAAACCAAATAGCAGCCAGTAGAAGGAGAGTGTCTTGGATATTTGTGTGTCCCCATGTCCTCCTTGGGCAAAGTGGCTGCTTTCTCAGCAAGATCACATGCTTTACGGTTGGAGGTCCACTACCCAAGTCTATCATTTCTTCAAGTTTCTAGTAAAGCATCAAGTTTAAAGCTACACACTAAACATGAGTCTCAAAAACTTGCTGTGTCATAACCTATCAGTGCATGAGACATGCTTAGAACTAACAACAGTCACTGGGTACAACTCAGCTAGCAGTGTCTTCAATGACCAACTACCTTATTTTCTAGTTTATATTTCCTGTGTTTCATTTTGTAAAGATAAATAGTATGTATCTCTCTTCATTTCCCCCCACCTTATTTCCCTTTCTTTCTTAAAAAGATAGCATACTAGATATTTTCTCAGTCAGGTTTTTTCCCAGTAAACATCATTTCATAGAAATACCATCAAGTCAATTTGTAGGGACCTATAACATTCCTTCTATACTTGTGTGTACAGCTGTTTGTACCACATTATATGCATAGTTTATATTATCATAGTTTATCTACCTTACTTTTGTCTGTCCATTTCCTATGCTTATCCATTGATGTGGTTTTGAGTATTTTGCAAATTACAAATATGCTAGAATAAATAATCTTGTGTATATGTATTTTCATTGTTTGGTCTATGAATATACATTAACTGAAAACACAAAACTAAGAAAACTAGAGACTAATATAAAACACATCTGAAACCTAAGAATTTTAATGATATGATAAAATGTTTTCTCCACACACACATTAAAATTCTTTTCTCAGTTTTCATATCTGATCTAACATTATGGTAATTTACTTATAACTTCATAAAAATAAAAGAAGATGCTGATGTATGCTTATTATAAATTTAAAACCTAGAGATTTCACAATACATCTCTTTTTTATTTAGTTGACTAAATGCTTCTCTGTGTAGTTCAGGATGAAGTAACAGATGAAAATCATATGCTTCAGCATCAAGACTCAATATCAAAATCAGAAATTCAAGTGAAGAAACAAAGAACTCACAAAAGGGAAAGACTTAGTAGTAAGTATAAAATTACAAATAACTTTATTTTAAATTAGATCATTTTACTTTTGTTCATGAATATGTATTTGAACATATATTTTATAGAAATACTACACTTTGACTAAAACATGAATACCCCTAATAGTTAGGAAAAAATAGTTACACTTTGGTTGGAATTTCTGGTCTTAAGATCAATTTATGACCATAAGAGAAGCACTCAGAATTTCTGAGGGCCCCCAAAAGGCAAGTAATTGTTTCTCCTAAGGAGTGTGCCTTTCAGCCAACTTCCTATAATTATGGGTTCAATAGCCCAGTGGATGCCTCTGACCTGTAGCAGTGGCCTTCTGCCATAGACTCCAATTGATATACAGATGATTCTGAGATCTGAAATTCAAACATGAAATAGGAATCAAAAGAGAATAGGGTAAGGGCAGCCTAAGAGGCCTACTGGAGGGCTTTTAGGTCATCCTTTTCATTATATCTTTACTAAAAGTAAGCAACCTTTTTTGTAATCTCATACATGATATCAAGGACCTCACACAGGGAAAATGAGAATGCAAGTAGTCAGAATTCCACTAATTGCTGGCCTCTTTTTATTTATTGGGGTTGAGTGGGCCAATATTGGTAGTCTTCTCCCCTGGGATGAGAAGCCGTGCTCTTTTCAGATCATGTCCAGGATTTCACTAGGGTATGAGGTAAATGTACCCTTTCTGAACAAGTAGTCCAGCCAAGAGCTACTAGTGTGTGAACAGGGCATCTAGTCCTTATTGGGCGGTGCTCTTGTCTGGACCCACTCGACTGAAGACTAGTCCTCCCTCTGGGAGTAGGACATTTAAAAGCCATGAACTATGCATTGGTGATAGATATTGAAGCAATTTGGTAGTTATGTGAAGGACACTAATAGTATATTGCAACTCATTTCACATAAGGTTAAGTTAACCCTGATCTTTTGCATGAAGTGGGATACAGCAGAGGGCATTGGAGAGGTCAGTTGTTGCATATTAAATTTCCTTCAGTTTGGAAAAGACTGTATGATGTTACAATTTCAGGTACCCTAGTGCACAGAGCTGTGCTATAGTATTGAATCAAATTTAACTGAATCACTGTACACCCTGTGTACAGATGACTGTGAAAGGTCATCTTAATTATTAAAATGAGTAATAGTCTCTTGGAGAATTTTTGCTTCATTAGGCTCAGCAATGAGTGTAGTTATTTATTTTCTTTCCTAGGAATTTGTTTTGGGAGACACAAGTGCTAGGTGATGTTTAGTTTGGGTGTTTGCAGTCTTCTACATGCCCCACATAAATGGCCCTAAATATAGCAGTTCTTATCAGGGCGTGGAGCTTCTTCTTTTGGTTATATGAATATGTATTAATTTAAAGTATAAATAACCCAAGAAAACTAGAGACTACATATAGTACAACATTATATCTGAAACATTATAATAGGGACGTTAGTTATACAGCTTCAACACATACCCATTAAAAGTATTCTCACAATTTTCATGCCACATCTGGTATTATGATAGTTTGCTTACATTATTAAAACGAGAAAATTTGGTGTGTATTTGTTATAAATTTTAAATCTAGAGATTTCACAGTAGATATATTTTTTTCTATTAAGAGACTAAATGAATCTCTCTCTGTAGCTCATGATGATGTGCCAGACAAAAATCTTGTGCTTAAGTACCAAGATTCAGTGTCAAAACATCAAATACAAGTACAGAAACAAGTAACTTCCAGAGAGAAAAAACACATGAGTAAGTAATATGATTATAGATAACTTTAGATTTTAAAAATTTAAAAGCTTAATATTTTATCTTTAAAAAAAACTTAAAATTTAAAAAAATTAATCTCATCAGATCTTTTTTCTTTACTTCATGAATATGTATTTGAGCATTACTAGCAATATAGAAAATTTATACTTCAATGTAAAATATGAAATCATAAAACGAAAACCATTTAACATTTATTTGGGATATCTAATTATAAGATGATTTCATGGCATGGCTCTTGAGCTCAATGTTCACTAAAACCCAGTAACTAGTGTCAATAATTCCTCAAAGAGTGTTTACTTTCAGTCAAGTCACCTCTAACATGCTTCAGTTGGCCAACATTGGCTGCTAAGACCCATAACTCAAAATGAATTAGAGGGGGCAAGGAGAATGGTGACCTATGTAGCTAGTTGGAGAACCTTCAGGGCATTCTGTTATTATGCCCCACTCAGGGTAGAGGTCTTTTTTTGTAATCTAATTAATGGTTGTTATCATGAAGATAGTCATGTAGGGAATGTGTGACCACCATTAGCTGAAGAATCCCACCAGTTGCTAGGCATTCTTTATATTTATTGGAGCTAAGAGCCTGAGCATGACTAGAACTTGGGAGTTGCTTCCTTTGGAGTGAGACGTACTGCCTCTTGACTGTATTAATGACCCACCCATGTTACTCCATATAGGTCAACATGGTATGCAGTCCCTGTTGGGTCATGCAGAAGATGTCATCAATATAGTGGAAGGATAGTGCTCCAGCTAGTAGGGGGACTTTTTCAAGTTCATGGCCTTGTAGAAGGATGTTAAAGGTGTGTTGCAACCCATTACACATAAGACAAACTAATACAGATAATCTGTGTGGATGGGGATGCTAAAAAGGATATTTGCAATATGAATTACTTCATACCTGCTTTCATCAGCTTGGTCAATAGCCTCTATGGCAGTTATAATGTCAGGTAATGCCAGTGCCAAAGTCTGTAATACACACTTGAGCCACTGATAATCAATTATTTTCAAGCACAAAGGCCTTGTGCAAAAGCCAGATGGTGGACTTTGTCTTCATTAACCACAGCAATAGGAGGAGTTCTTTCTTTCTTTTTTTTTTTTTAAAGATTTTATTTACTTATTTGACAGAGAGAGAGAGATCAGAAGTAGGCAGAGAGGCAGGCAGAGAAAGAGGGGGAAGCAGGCTCCCCGCTGAGCAGAGAGCCCGACACGGGGCTCGATCCCAGGACCCTGAGATCATGACCTGAGCTGAAGGCAGAGGCTTAACCCACTGAGCCAACCAGGTACCCCAGAGTTATTTCTTTTTATCCCCAAGACAAATGATACTGTTTTTGAGAGACAAAAGCATTGGATGCTGGTTGTCTGGTAAAGTTACAGTCTTCTACATGCCCCCATTAAAATGGTTCTAACTGCAGCAATTCCCTTCAAAGGATGCGTTCAGAGGTGCATATAGACAATACAAAACACCTATCACAATAATCCATTTACAAATGGACACCATTACAATGGTGCTATGTAGTAGTCCCAAGGGACCTACTCTTAGTCAAATCTGGGTAAGGGTCTTGGTGGTGGTGGCTTGAGACAGAAAGTCAATGAGTATTATCAATTTCCTCCTCATTTTATGCCAGAGATTGGGGGTTACAGTTACCTGTGCACTACTATTCAAAAGGCCCAAGAAATGTAGCTCTTCTCCATGTCTATTTTCAACTTTGATTTTGGCATAAAACCTTCATTTCTTACTGTGAACATAGGACGTTGTCAACTCATATCTCATAGTCTTTTTTGAGCCAAAAAATTTGAGTAAAAGTTACATGTTTTTTGATTCATTTCATAATTCACTGAGAGAAGAAACAGCATTGGTCTTAGAGGTATCATCACTGGGCAGTCTCAAGGGGGGCTGCTGTTTGTCTCTTAATGAAATACTGCTTGACCAAGAGTTCTCAGTGGAGTGCCCATTCATCTTTTCTTTTGACTTCCATGTTTAGTATCAGACCCAGAGATCCTGGGAAAGCTCTTACCCAAATCTTCCAGGAATATGTGCATGATTATCCATTTTTATGTCACTCTATTTGATGGTCTCTCATTATATTGGCAGTTGCTTTTTCCCTGCCCAAGAATTTCTTAGTTATGATCTGGATTATGTCACTGAAAAATTGACCCGACCTTACAAGGAGGTTTAGCTGAGCTCAATAACCAGCAGAGATGAAATTAATGAACCCAAAGTCTTGTTAACAGTCTTATATGCTTCTCTCACTCTCTCATTGCAAAACCAAGAGACCACCAGTGTAATTTGCAGTGCTGCTGGTGCCTCCACAGGAGTGGTCTGTATTTTAGTCATAGGGAACACATCATGGGTGCCCAAAGCTATCAGAGTCCAAATTGCACCCAACTGAGGAAGAAGAACAACTTGGATATTCCCCTCAGCCTCTTTGATCAAGTTTTCTGTGGTCATAATATTCTGAAGGAGGGTGCCATAGTGGTGTACCCCACAAAATACCACCATCCCTAAGTTCAAAATTACCTTCTTCATCATTATAACAAGGAACCCAAGTCTCTAAGGTCTTTTTAGGTCATTGGACAAAGTAACCCCAAGGAATTCTATATTCATTTAACTAACCACAAGTCTCAATAACTTGCTATTTTATAGGCTGTCTTTCATTGTCTGTGGCCTCATTAGAGCTAGCAACAAACATTGGGTGCAACTTAGCTTACAGAGTATGTGACAATTTTTAGTTCTATCATCAGAGGACAATAGCGTTAGTCAAGGAATTGCTTCTCTATATTTCTCAGAGTCCCTGTTGGAACTCTAATTTGACACACCAGGCATTTTGACCATGGAGTCTGGGGCTAAAGAAAACGACCACTGTCACCTTTCAAACATAGGATCTTCATGCTTTTTACTTTTCCAGAAAGACATTGTGCTTAATTGAGCCACCTGTTGGTCACCATTTGTCACTAAGAGAAAGCTGCCAGGTGTGAAGGAGGCCACTTAAGAAAACAATCCAAATCAAAAGTAAAAAGCCTTTATTCACTTACTGCAATGATATAAACAGGAGTCTAAACATGAAAGGGCACTAGCTCTACCAAGGCTTCAACCAATGTTTCATTTCCCCATGAAATGATATAAGATAAGGATTGGTATTAGCTCAGATGGAAGGGGAATATCTCACTATATGTAGAGTTATTTGTACCACATTATATCCCCTATATACTATATATACTATAGGTTTAAACATGCACATATACACACACCATAATTTATCCTAATTGGTAGTATATGATTTTTCCAGTTTTATTCAGAAATAATTGGCATACAGTGGTGGTGGGTATTATGGAGGGCATCATTGTGTAAATCTAAGGTGTACAGCATAATGTTTGACTTGCATATATTGTGGACGATAGTGTTGTTTATGGTATATACATCAGTTTACTCAACCAGTCTCCCATTTTGGAATACTTAGACAATTTTGAATATTTGCAATTACAAATAAGTCTATATTGACTAAACTTGTGCATATGAATTCTCACTGGTTGGCATATGAATATGTATTTACCTAAAATATAAATAACTTGACAAAATTAGAGTCTAATATAAACATACTTAGTGCCTATAATATTTATAAAATAGAGAGACAACTTCAATATACACCTATTAAAAATATTCCCAGTATTTTCATATTAGATCTGGTATTATGATTATTTATGACTTTATAAAAAGTCATGGGAGAAAATGTTTCTATTGACTTATTATAAATTTGAAATATAGAGATTTCATGGTAGATCTATTTTCTTATTAATTTATCTCTTTATGTAGCCTTTGATGAAGTACAAGATGAAAATCTTATGCTTAAACATCAAGACTCAGTGTTAGAAACCCAAGTACAAAAAACTTCCATGGAGGAAATACTCAGTAGTAAGTATAATAGTTACAGATAACTTTATATTGTTTTAAGTTAAATGCATGAGAACTCTCTTTGGGTTATGAATATATATTTGAGCATTTATTTTATAGAAATATTAAACATTGACTACCAAAAGTGTGAATACTCTAACATAACTGGAGAACAAAATGAAATATATTAATACATTTTAGTTGGAATTTCTTATCAGAAGATTATTACATGATCAAGGTCATATTCTCAGTTTTCATCAAGGCCAATAACAGACCAACAATTGTCTCACAAAGGATATACACTTTTTAGATAACAGGCAGATTGCAGATGCAAAGCCCAAGGAGTGCCTTGTGACTTATGGTAGTGGCCTTCTGCTCTAGGTTCCAACATACAAAAACAGATGATACTGAGATCTGTACCTGAAACAAAAAATGGAAATCAGAGAGGTCCAGAAAAAGGGCATCTAAGATGACATCTAAGAACCCCAGGTGATCCTGTTCAGTAGAGCTCCCGCCAAATGTTGTAGTCTTTATGGTAACCTAATAGATATGAGTGTATATGGCAGTATAGTTTTACTAACTGTTCAGATTATTTTTATTTTGGGGGCACAGAGGGTCAAAACATGACAATTGGTTTCTCTGGGATGATACATTATGCCTTTTATAGATCATGTCCGGAAATTTTACTTTGGTTTTAGGTCCTTGTATCTTATTGGTAAGAATGGCCTACCAGGATGATTTCGTCAATAGATTGGAGAGATAGCACTCCCTCCAGGAGTGGGACTTTTTCAGGTCTTGACCCATGCATTGATTATAGGTAGTTGGAGGAATTTAGGAAGTGTTATAGAAGAACATTTGTGGTAAAATGTAATTCATATTATATACAACAAATTAATCCTGATCATCTGCATGAAGAGGGATGCTGAAAAGGGATTTGTGATGTCAACTATAACATACCAATTTTCTTCACTTTGGGCAGTGACCTTCATAACTGTAATGTCAGGTACCACCAATGACAAAGGCAGCACTGGGACTTTATATAGCCTTAATCAATTTAAAGTCTAGACTTAAGGTCTTGCACATAGGTCAGGTGGAACTATTAAATAGAGAAATAATTTACAGATATTGTTGGCTATATAAAGTTCAACAATGAGGGCCGTTAATTCCTTTTTATTCTCTAGGCTGTTGACATTGTGTTTGGTAGACAACGGTGCTAAGTGCCAATAGTTTTGTAGGTCATGATTTTTCACATACCCCATTAAAATACTCTGCCTTCAGCAAATCTAATCAGAGGTTAAGAGTAAATGCAATTGCTGGTTGGCATAGAAAGTTAATTTCTACCAATAATATATTCAGTAGTAGAAGCCATAATAATGGGGGTGGCCTTAAAAAATTCATCCATACTTGGGTCTAGAAAAGAGGCCTGGGGGCCTCAGACCACTCAGAAAATTTTCTGTTTCTTCCTTACCCTTCATCAGGGATTATAGGGTCACAGGAATTTGTTCACCAGTATCAAAAAGCCCAAGAAATGTAATTTTTTACCACTTTCAAATCTGACCTTTGAACTCTTGGCTATATCTAACCTTTAGTCATATTAATTTCTGGAAGCTTAGAGATCTGGATAAAAGTAGGGAGGGTCTGTATTGATGGACACCACAAGGTGCCACTCTCACTCAATAAAGTTTTACAACATTATCTCCTTCATCAAGGAAACAAAGTACCCATGTCTCAAGATTCACTGGGCTATTTGGAGGGAACAGCACTTGTATTAGTCATAGTAGCCATTACTATATAGACCTTAATGCCGTATGGGAACCTCATAGCTCATGACTAGCAATGAGTTGTTGGTAGAGAGCCCACCAGTTTGTTCTTTTGAGAGACCCCATTGTTTGGTAACCAGATCCAAAGATGACTTCTGTAAAGCCATTGCCTGGATTATTAATCAGAGTTGACATTTTCATCACATTCTCTCCATTGCTCAGTGTTTTTGATCTAGACCATAGACACTTTTATCATGTCCTAAAATTTGGCAGTTAAGCTATGGATTGTGTTGTGGATGGATTGACATGATCTTATGAGGAGGTCTAATTGAGCTTGATAATCAACATGATTGACACAAGTGAATCTAGCAATCTGAGTCTGGTCAGCAATCTTGTCATCTGTTGTTCTCACTTGCTAATTGTTTACCCAGGAGGTTACCAGGATGGTTCTCCAGGATACCATTGTCTCTGGGAAGATAGTCATACATATTTTTAGTGCCAGGAACTCATCAATTGTGGGCCAAAACTGTCAGAGCCTAAATAGTATCCAGTTGAAGATGGAGATGGTCTCAGTTTTTACATACTTTTATATTCCTTCCCATTTTCCTCCCCCACCTTAGGCAAGGTGGCCACTGTAAGCAACTCTGAACTAGGGGAATCTGTAGTGATGCCTCACGAGGTGCCACTTTCACTTAATAAATTCAATAAGAGAAAGGGTTTGAAGGCCCATCCAATAATATGGTCTAGGTAGAAGTGCCTGAATGATATAATGCCTCAACTGAGGTCTCCCCTGCATCATACAGAAATTTCCTGGATGTATCTGAGCTAGAATGCAGATATGACCAGCCCAAATGGACTTTGCCCCATTACTGCAGTTGCCTTCAATGTCTATAGTATCTTGGCTGTGCATCAACTGTAGTACGAGGTGTGGTATTTTCCCCATGGCAACTGCCAGATAAAGCATTTTTAGTTACCAATCATTGGGTCTGAAAGATCACACATAGAATTTTGGCCTGGAGTTGGACTCTCCTCAGAATTTATACATATACACACATATACATAAACATATACACATATGCATATATGTATACGTATATACATACTCATTTTCACATGTATATATGTATGTGCACATGTATACATACATATTCACATGCACAGTCATATTTATTTATAACATTTAAATTCAATTAGTTAACATATAATGTAGCATTAATTTCAGTTATAGAGTTCACTTATTCATTTGTTGCATTTAACACCCAGTGCTCATTACATCAAGCACCCTCCTTAATGCCCATCATCCAGCTACCCCATCTCCCTACCCACCACTCCTCAAATGATCAACCTTGTTTGTTTCCTATAGATAAGAGTCTCTTGTGGTTTGCCTCCCCTTCTCTTTTCCTCTTAATTTTTCCTTCCCTTTCCCCATGTTTATCTGTTTTCTTTCTTAAATTCCTCATATGATAATTGTCTTTCTCTGACTGACTTATTTTGCTTAGCATGATACCCTCCAGTTCCATCCATGTTATAGTAAATGGTAAGATTTCATCCTTTTTGATGGCTGAGTAGTATTCCATTGTGTATATATACTACATATTCTTATCCATTCATCTATTGATGGACATCTGGGCTCTTTCCATAGTCTGGCTATTGTAGACATTGCAGCTATAAACACTGAGGTGCTGGTATCCCTTCAGATCACTACGTTTGTATCCTTTGGGAAAATCCCTAGTAGTGCAATAGCTAGGTCCTAGCTTAGCTCTATTTTCAACTTCTTAAGGAACCTCCATAATATTTTCCAGACTGGCTGCACCAGCTTGGCATTCCCACCAACAGTGTAACAGGGCTCCCTTTTCTCCGCATCCTTGACAACATTTGTTGTTTCCTGTCATGTTAATTTTAGCAATTCTGGCTGGTGCGAGGTGGTATCTCATTGTAGTTTTGATTTGTATTTCCTTGATGCCAAGTGATGTGGAGCATTTTTTTTAATTTAAATTTTTTCAGTGTTCCAAGATTCATTGTTTAGGCACCACACCCAGTGCTCCATGCAATACATGCCCTCCTTAATACCCACCACCAGGCTCATCCAATCTCCCATCCCTCTCCCCTCAAAAACCCTCAGTTTGTTTCCCAGAGTCCACAGTCTCTCATGGTTTGTCTCCCCCTCCGATTTCCCCCAACTAACTTCTCCTCTCCTCCCAATGTCCTCCATGTTATTCCTTACGCTCCACAAGTAAGTGACTCTCTCTGCTTGACTTATTTCACTCAGCCTAATTTCCTCTAGTCCTGTCCACGTTGATACAAAAGTTGGGTATTCAACCTTTCTGATGGAGGCATAATACTCCATTGTATATATGAACCATATCTTCTTTATCCACTCATGCACTGAAGGGCATCTTGGCTCTTTCCACAGTTTGATGACTGTGGCCATTGCTGCCCATTGGGGACAGATGGCCCTTCTTTTCACTGTATCTGTATCTTTAGAGTAAACACCCAGTAGTGCAATTGCAGGGTCATAGGGAAGCTCTATTTTTAATTTCTTAAGGAATCTCCATACTCTTTTCCAAAGTGGCTGTACCAACTTGCATTCCCACCAACAGTGTAAGAGGGTTCCCCTTTCTCCACATCCTCTCCAACACCTGTTGTTTCTTGTCTCATTAATTTTGGCCATTCTAACTGGTATAATGTGGTATCTCAATGTGGTTTTAATTTGAATCTCCCTGATGGCTAGTGTTGATGAACATTTTTTCATATGTCTGTTAGCCATTTGTATATCTTCATTGGAGAAGTGTCTGTTCATGTCTTCTGCCCATTTTTTGACATGATTATCTGTCTTGTGTGTGTTGAGTTTGAGGAGTTCTTTATAGATCTTGGATATCAGCCCTTTATCTGTACTGTCATTTGCAAATATCTTCTCCCATTCTGTGGGTTGCCTCTCTGTTTTGTTGACTGTTTCCTTTGCTGTGCAGAAACTTTTTCTCTTGATGAAGTCCCCAAAGTTCATTTTTGCTTTAGTTTCCTTTGTGTTTGGAGACATGTCTTGAAAGAAGTTTCTGTGGCCAATTATGAAGAGGTTACTGCTTATGTTCTCCTTTAGGATTTTGATAGATTCCTGCCTCATATTAGGGTCTTTTATCCATTTCAAATTTATCTTTGTGTATGGTATAAGAGAATGGTTAAGCTTCATTCTTCTCTACATAGCTGTCCCAATTTTCCCAGCGCCTCATTTTAACTTGATTACTTCTGTAAAGGCCCTATTTC